GATTTGCATGACGTACTCTTGTGAAACAACTTGAATATAACAAAAGTGTAGCGGTTGCCACCTGAAGTGGTTGGATGATATGGCGCTTTGGTATGGATAGTTGCCGAGTATACTGAAACCTTCATTACTAAACTTATTCCTTGTGTAAGTTGTAAGATTTAACACGAGAAATAACATTATGAGATGCGAAGATGGTACGATTACTGTAAAAATAATAAGTATGTAGGCATTCACGACTCAACTTTTTTATGAAAGATTATTAAATTTGTTCATAAAATTACTTTAACATTTACACCATTAATCGATCATGTTTTAAAGAAACTAAAAAAGAATACCAAGATTTAAAATGGTTAAATATTGAAATCTCGGCATTATTTCTCGATGACCCTGAATGCATCTATAGCTATATCCTTTCTTTGTGAAATTCGACACAACTAATAAGATTTTATTTAGATGTGTGTTGACGTACAAGTAAAAATATAAACATACTTTTATAAAATACATGTCCTGTACCATCATATTTAAAGTAAAGGTAAAGTTTGTGAAGAATTTTGCAACCGTATCAGTGATGAGTATTTGGATGAACACCGAAGTGAGATAGAAACTGTATTTGATTTTTAAACTGACATGCAATATTTAACAGTCACAACAAGATAAGACTGGCACCACGTTCCCCGTCTTAGCAGCGTAAAATTCAGTAGCAAATACAAAACTTGAGATAGGTGGGCAGAGAACAAGCTATCAAACAAAGGTGACATTCGCCTAAAAACACACCTCAATTGCCTATGATGGATGACAGCGGGAATACTTCTTAAGGCGGCGTCACACTAGCATTTCTACTGTCAACTTTTTCATTACTGTCAACTTATTTTCACGAATCGCCGGAGTTGTCGATGGCTGTTTGTCAGACGGTACAGACCGTCTGCACTGACGACTCATACAACTTCGACAACTTACCAGTCAACTCAAGATCTATAATTGATACTACAAATAGTTACAAAAATAACTAATTTGTTAAAATATAAAGCTACAATTATTATGAAGTAATTAGTACTCCTCTTCCCCAAGTTACTCTTTATTATGTTTATTTTCGTGATTTTAAAAGGGTAAGAAAATGCCACTTGTTGTTTACATTTTGACCACGCAGGAATAACAACATGACGGAGCCAACAGATAAAATAATTTCCCAAGTATGGACAACCCTCTCCGAGGAGTTCTTGGTGGACCAGATACGGCAGGGCCGCTGTCTCTGGGATCACTAGGGCTCTTCATACACCAAAAAAGGCGTAGAATTGCTGCGCTTTCTTCGTCAGTTGGATCCATCTTGTTTGTTGACAGTTGTCGAACGAGGGAAATTGGCGAGTTGGTTCTAAACACATGTGTGACAGTGCACAACCAAAAAAGTTGCAGATTTTCTGAAAGTTGACAAAAAAGTTGAAGAAAGAATGCCAGTGTGACTCCGCCTTTAATATAATTTTTTTTACATCAATGCCCATGTTTCTTCAGCCTGCACCGTTTGGTTGGTTCTGTTAAGATCACCACCACCACTAATGCTACTACTGCTGCTTACTTCTACCACTACTGTCTATCATCCCTTACCACCATCATCACCACCATCCACTACCGTCATTACCATCACCAACACCGTCATCACCATCACCACTACCGCCATCATACACCACTGTCGTCATCACCATTACTACTTCCATCACCACCACCATTAATACCATCACCACCTTAAGCATCATCGCCAACATTACCATCACAACCTTAACCACCACAACCACCACCAACGACAACCTTCCATAACCAGTCTTCCTTCATAACCACCACTATCCTCACTACCATAAATAGGTATCCACCATCACTACATCAGATGCGTTTCGTTTGCACCAACACCCCAGCCATCACTCAACTCTACCATCACTATTAACATTACATTCCTACTAACATAAGCAGGAGGTGTGTATCATCAGAACCACTTAATTTTCCACCACGACAGGAGGGTCTGTACCACCACTAGTACCACCATCATCAGTGGGTCTACACCAACACCACCTGACCCGTCTGGTGAACAATACGTGCATGATCTCTCACAACGTAGTAGTATTGTTTTGATATACGATGCCAAAGCTTGTATCACGGACCCACTCTCAGATGAACTGTAAAGTGACTGTGGTACACGTGACTGGTCAAGTTTGAGCGGCGGGAGGGTGCTCCGGCGTGGGCCGCCCAAAGCGAGAGAGAGAAAGCTAAGAATTTACATCTTGCACCTTCTAAAGATTTTTTATATGAATTTAACATCTAATGAATTGACTCGGGTAAATTTTATCTTACAAGTTATCGAGCAAATCCTTTTTTTAATGAAGTTTAACAAGTAAATTTTTAAAAGCACAATACGTATATGTATTTTATTCTGTTTAAATAAGTTATACTTTTTTTATGAACAATTCAATTATATAAAGATTGAAATTCAACTGGAAAAACTACACACACACACACACACACACACACATCATATATATATATATATATATATATATATATATATATATATATATATATATATATATATATATATATATATATATATATATATATATATATATATATATATATATATATATATATATATTGCGTGTGTGTTTGTATTTACGAATGTGAATCAAACATTAAATGTTAGGTAGCTGGTAACAAGAACTGCACATGTTCATGAGCATCCTCTCTATGAAACAACACATGAACCTTAAGACCTGTGCTGAAGTTTTAACCATTGCCATGCCATACTGTCTTTGAATCAATTATTTTAACGACGTTTGCGCTAGTAGTCTTGGCCACCACCTGGGTCACTCACTAGTATTGTCCACGGCTGACCTATTAGTCTCAGTTTTAGAACTTGGCCACGAATTAACCGAGTCACCATGGCCACACTTAAACTGGTGATCCTGGCCATATGTGTGTGAGTCACACCTGGTGAGTATATCTGACCCAATAATCACACACTGCCAGAATTTTGGCCGCGTTCGGGGCAATAGTTCCGGCTTTAATCTGACCAATCTTTTTTAGTTATGTTTCAGTACTATTCACGGTTCGGTCAATATTCTTCATCACTCATAATCCAACACTGACTATGATTGAGACAGTATTCCTGCTCTGGGCCTCTGGTCATGGTCGCGTGTAATAGTTGTGGTCACGCCTAATAGCGCAGTCATGGCGTTACAAGAGCAAGTTAACACTAAGACTGAATTCATGGATTAACTTTGATAACTGTGAATGTAATACTCCCAAGACGGGTTTCTGTAATAACACATGATTACGAAAACGAAATAACTATTGTAAAGATTGTGGACAAATGTAGAAGCCCGAGATGTGGATAATATGAAATACATTCAAATTTTGGTATATGTGAAAAATAGTCAAATTTAATGGGTTAAGCATGCGTAAGCCTGGTGCATGTAGAACACGGGGAGTGAAAACATGAAACAGTCTTTGGATTATTACATGTATTCCCAGCGTTAGGCGCATATTAAATTCACCCAAAGTCAGAAGCAAGCGGTTTCTTTGTTACTGAATAATTGCTCATATGTATTATCCTTAGCAATATCTGCAGGTACCGATGATAGCAATCTATACCATTCCCGTATTAAGATGTAGCACAGGCAATGTTTCAGGAGCGAACACACTGTACCAATTTTGGCGTGTTTACTCTTTCACCCTGGTACACGGTCATCGCCACCAGTGGGTGTATGCAATAGACCATGGACAGATTCATGTTACATCCCCTGCAAAAATTACATTGCTGCACCGAAACTGGCCACCATTATGATATGCTAAAGCATATAAATGTAATTCATTAGCCATAAATCTAGCAAGTTCAATGCCCCGCAACATACTGCACATTTAGCAACAATCAGTAACACGATCTGCTCCACTTGTTTCGCCAATGGCTCCCACATGGCGGACTGTCCAAATGATAGGCACATAGATCATTATCTTTATCAGTGTACAGCACTACTATATTACGTATATACGGCAGTTACTGCGTTGCATATGTGCAGCATTTACGATGTTACGTACTTGAAAGATAATCGAGTTACGTAAACAAGTAATATGTGTGTGTGGAATAGTCATTTAGTGACGTTTGCTCAACCCATTTACAAAATGTTTAAAGAACAACTCCCAGTATATCGTGCGGATACTGCAGCTACCAACTGCTCATGGGTAGTTGTTTCTTTATTTACCAGCTGCAAAAAAATAGACTGTCAGCCCAAGATGTCGCCAACACCAGAAGGGTGGACAGTAATGGCAGTAGATGTCATTAACAAGGACAACAAGATTGAAGTAATAAACGTTGGCTCGGAGTAGGCCCAAGAGCCATTCCGTCCATTTTCAGGAGGTCACTGTTGGGCGCTGGTCTTCTCCAGAGTCTAGAGAGGAACGTTCCTCCACTGGAGTAAGACCGGCGACTCTGGTCGCGTAATCCTCATCTGGGGAGGAGCTTGGTGTGGCTGAGGGGGTAAAAACTGAGGGCCCTAATTGAGCACTGATACCTGAGGCGGCAAATTCTTCACACTCATCGAAAGATTCGTCTGATATACGAACGCTTTTCTTTCGTATTCTAGGAATGTCAGATGCCCGGCGGCCAGTATCAGGATGCGGTGGGGAAAGTGGCGAAGCGCCTAAACTGAGTGTTTGGCGCACTGCAGCAGCCCCCGCAGAGCCACTGATAACAGAGGGAAGGGCACTGCCTAAAGAACTTTGTCTTAACGAGGAGAGACGACGCCGATTGCCAAAGGCTGCCATTTGTTGCTCTCGACTCATATAGGAGACGGTTGAGTGGGAGCGTTGCGAGCGGGGTGTTGCACCGGATTCCTCTCCGTCTTCGCTGGTGAAGAGGTCCGTAGTCTTGCGCGGAAAATCGATGGACCTGCGGGGGAAGGACGGCACAGCCTCCTTTGGGAAGCAGGAACTGAGAGCGGCTGAAGCTGCCGGCTTCTTACCCTGACGTACAAACATCTGGTTGACGTCGAGAAGTATGTCGCAACCCTCAACGATCATCCTTTCGATGGCCAAATTCTTCCGGATGTTCTCTGTCTCGCTCACCTGTAATATTATTAGTTGTAAAGTTACACGCTAGCCTTCTACTCTGGCTCCGTATATATATATATATATATATATATATATATATATATATATATATATATATATATATATATATATATATATATATATATATATATATATATATATATATATCATGCCTGGCGTTATATAATCATATAAATCACAGCACCTTGTATAAAGACTATTCTTCGTTTAATTGTATAACGGTATTTTGAAGACCCCAGAGTGGGAGATGCGAGCACCATTCATCATTTTAATGTTAAAAGGGTTTGGTACTCAGTATTTTCATATAGCGGGTAATATTTTTTAGATCAGTTGTATATATTAAGGAAAGAATGATTAAAGAGATTCGCTACAACGTTGAAATCAGACTCACATTATAAGACACACTACATATAAACAAAATGTTTCGATGTTATCGACAGCTTAAAAGGTTGTCACTGAGTTTTGAAACTAATTATTTTAATATATAATTTTCTGTCTATTTATGTTTGGTTAAACTAACAAAGGGAAAGGTGTGCTTTGATCTGTAATCATGATAATATTCACGTTAGCTTCTCTAGTTATGAAAAGTAAACCCATCAACTTCAAGAGCTCTTCATTTACACTAGTTTTCGCTGCATTATGTGCTTACAAATGTGATTTGAGAATTACAGGTTAAATAAGCTTAAATGTACAGACGAAAATTGACTGTAATTGTTAGTACAATGTGTTAAAGAAAATAGGAATAAAAAAAATGACTTGGTAGTTGTAAGTAAAACAAGTTGGGATGATTATAGTGATACGCGCCTCGTCGTGCATCTGTCGGGAGAGATCTTCCAGCTGCATCCTGGCATGGTCAAGGCTCTTCCTCTCTACGTGGTTGTGGGGTGTGTGGGCCAATAGCTCGTGTAGGGTGATAATGTACCGAGGGATCTGCAATATAAATTTTCTGTATAGCAAACTATCCTCCTGAGTCTAAATGCTCAATGGTTTTTACGGTGATATCTCGCAACTGAAAATGGTAGAATGCGCCTCACTGATAACTACCACAAAAGAGCAATAAGTTTAGCAAACAGAATAAGTAAGGATTCTATACGTTAATTTTGACCCTTAATAATTGGTACTCAGTGAACGTATCTAGTTGTGTTAGAAGTTCAAGTTATTCTGAAAAGTTACCTTTGGCCTTATGCTTTATCGTATTCCATTCAGTTGGGTACATACTCATGTTTTCAATTACGAGATATTCTTAGTACAGTAGGAGCTTTGGAGAACCACACACACACACACACACACACACACGCACATCAATCCATATGTTGTTAGTTTTTTAAGTCTGTTGTTCCGAGGGCTGTGTCATCATGTGATTAAGAATGTGCGGGAATAAATATGATATAATTGTAAAATAAGTGATGTATGTCATACGTTTAAACATTTGCAAGTTGTGTGAGGCGGAAAGTCGCGAGAGGACAGGAAGTTCCTAGACAACAGTGTGAGGGATCATGGAGGTCAATGATGATAGATGGAACCTGAAATTCATAAGGTTAGCCAGACCGTGTTCTCCATTAACTATTCCAGAATATTAGTTTCGCAGAGTAAATAGAAAATGGACAGACGAATGTGGAAAGTTTGGTGACTTCTTTAGGCTCGGAAGATTTGAACTTCTGCAGAAACATGCATGAGAATTAAGCATCTCTAGAAATGACCTCAAATAATTACTTGGTAAATGTTAGTTTCACACTTATTTACGAAATAGATCAGCTAGTAAGGATCACAAAAGTAAACATAAGCACCAACTTGTAAGTGGACGTGGTAGAAATATGAGGAGCTCACCTGATGCATAGGGTAGGTGAGGAATGTCTCCAGAGTGCGGCCCTGTAGGTTTGGTTTATTTTCTAAACGGTTGAGGAAGGCACCGAAGTGTGGGTTTTGTTTACACTCGGCCAACACCTGTAGGCTGTAGTGATGGTTCCTCACGTATTCCTGGTAGATGCTCAGCATTGGCAGCAGCATGTCGAACAAGTCTCCTGCTCGGTAGTACAGCATATGAGGAGTTAGTGCCCCGCCCCACTAGGGGCAAGGCTGACTAGGGGAGGGTACGGGAGGGGTGCCTGCTCGGTACCAGTGCAGGTGGTAAATAAAAGTTAGTGAATAAATAAACAAAAATTCAACTTAAATAGATTAATTAAGGGTGCGAGTCTACGGTAGGGAACATGGGATAGCCTTCTCGGTAATCCAGCACTTTAGTACAACTCTGTCCTGTTTATATAAGACCGTGTCGTTTGCAACTATCCGGGTAATACAAGAGGAAACATAAGAAGGACATGAAAGGAAGGTCATATAATGAGCGTCCCGGTGACAGGACACAGTAAACAGTCGGTCAACAAAACAAAAATAAAAATAAATTAATAGAAATTTGAGAGATACAAATAAGGTATAAACAAATGTAGCAGCACTGCCAAAGCAGAACTAACAGTAAGCACGTACTGCCTGTACAGCAGGGAAGACAAGGGACAAAACAGTTATATGACACATTATGGGTAAGTTACATCATGTCATTATCTCCTCAAGAGAGGACGAGAGAAAGTGTTGTAGTGTGTATGAGTGAATCAGTCACTCAGTCAGTCCGCACCAGTTATATCCTTAATACATAGTCAACAGGATATGGATCTTAACTACACTTGGTAAAAGGTTCAGGTGTGTTGGCAGTGATTTAGGGGACTACAGTATAAGGATATACAGTTCTGTAAGCCCAAGTTGAAGGTCAAGCTGGGTGATCACTATTACGGGTGGGCAGAGGTTGTGACTCGGGTGTGGGTAGTGTGCAGGGTCTTCGTAGAGTGTGAATGATAACACTACCATACCGCTCACAGTAGATGAACACCAACCCTGCACACTTGAAGAATAACTACCGATATGTCGTAAATGAAACACTAATACATGAAGTCCTAATCTAAGAATTGTGAAGGATTTTTGCTTGTCTATGACCTGTATATATTGCCACCATTGTTACATGTGAGTAAACATGTGATCTTCGTGAATCACTTATGACACACTGGACTCTTGATTCTACAGTGAATTACGACTAGCGCCATGGAGTCCGTCAAGTGTGGGAGTTATGGCGAGAAAGATCCATTTAAGAGACGTTATTGCATTAAAAAATAGGTATAACACTCCATGTTAAAAGTCGGTCATGGTCTCTATGGTGAAGGTCGATCATGGTCTCTATGGTGATGGTCGGTCATGGTCTCTATGGTGATGGTCGGTCATGGTCTCTATGGTGATGGTCGGTCATGGTCTCTCTGGTGATGGTCGATCATGGTCTCTATGGTGATGGTCGGTCATGGTCTTTCTATAGTGATGGTCGGTCATGGTCTCTCTGGTGATGGTGTCCATAAAGATCTCTCTGCTCAGTGATGGTCGGTCATAGCAGGTCTCTATGGTGATGGTCTGTCATGGTCTCTATGGTGATGGTCGGTCATAATTCTCTATGGTGATGGTCGGTCGGTCTTCGTGATGGTCGATCATGGTCTCTATGGTGATGCGGTCCGGTCTTCGCATGGTCGACCGGCCCCGTGGTGATGGTCGGTCATGGTCTCTATGGTGATGGTCGGTCATGGTCTCTCTGGTGATGGTCGATCATGGTCTCTATGGTGATGGCTCATGGTCTCTATGGTGATGGTTGCCGGTCTCTGTGGTGATGGTCGGTCAGCCTGATTTCATGGTCTCTCTGGTGATGGTGATCATGGTCTCGGTGATGGTCGGCATGGTCTCTATGGTGATGGTTGGTCATGGTCTCTCTGGTGATGGTCGATCATGGTCTCTATGATGATGGTCGATCATGGTCTCTATGGTGATGGTCGATCATGGTCTCTATGATGATGGTCGATCATGGTCTCTATGGTGATGATCGGTCATGGTCTCCTGTGGTCCAGACTCCCAGAGGTTCTTAAGAGGAGTATTCCTTGAAGACGAAGATGTATTAATAAACTAAATTAAAGTTCAATGACAAATATAACGTCTAGAAAGTTCATCAACATTACAGTACACTTAACACCAACTACTATAGAGCTAGCAAGGCCCTTTCTCTCCGGCTGAAGTACTGCCATATGTTATGACACGGAGACTCAGTACCACTTTATTCACCCGTTTACTTATGAAGTTCTTTCCTAGGCACCACACTGACCTCCACAACAATGGTTACCCTTACATCGCCTCCTCCTTTATACACTTCCTCAATATACACCTTCTGGGGATGAAGGGTGTTTCTCGAGTCTCCCCACAACATAACACATACACATACATTCTCACTCAACTTCTCTTTTCGGATTTAAAGCCATGGTTCCGGCTCCATCATTGGACACGATTCTCTCTACCCTCAAACCTTGAATAATATTTATAATGATGCGGACTTCTTTTTCTGCTTCACCTCTTCAACGTGACTACAAATCAGTCTTACTTAAAAAATATATTCAGAACACAAGACAGAAAGAAAAGTAGACTCTTTCTAAATACTCTCTTAATTTCTTCTCCTACGTCAATGTATCCATATTTCATTAAAATTTTCATTCCATTATTTGAACTTATTGTGTTTTATGTAAATTCATTAATTATGTGTAGTTAATAAATCTTCAATTAAGAGGACTAATCATCATGCAACCTTTGAGAAGTCTGGACCCAGTCTTGGCTTACTTAAAGATCATTCAACAATACTTAGACGAGACTTATGTTTGGCCAAAACTTAACCTCGTCTCTTCCAGTCTTTAAAGAGAAATTGGATCATATGAAGATTACACCTGAGCTTATATTACCTGACGATTACACGTCCTAACCTCATCTAACTGAACCTAACCTACCCAACAACTTTCCCCACAGGTAGCGCTAAGGTGTTTAATCATCAGGTGAAATAAGCTAGGGTGGTTTATCTTCAAGTGATCCCGTGAGTTATGTGAAGGTACATGTCTCTAGTGCGTTTACACAGGCTGGTCATAGAAATATTCAACAAATCATTATCTCTGTCCTTTGAAATATTTGTTTTAATGTTGTTTTAATTTGATTCCATAGTATGTTTGATATTGCTAGTTTTCTTCTGTTGAATGTAAACAAACACATCGCTGACATGCTGCACAAAATCTGACGAGCCCCTGTAAACACACTTGTGAAGGGGACTGTACGTCAGGCTGTAAAATAGTCAGTCTATCGTCTATATCGTTCAACATTCTCTCGAGGAAACAGAGTTATATTTCATACATCTCAAGTGTTTTGTATTTGGGACAATGACACACCTGTTTGAGGACAATAACCATCTTATGACAATGTTTGATCAGATATTCTTAATCATACTGTAACTTACATTTCTCCGTATACACTAGAGTTCTCATTTTATCCTTCTGTGTGTTCTGTTTCTCATTTTTTTTACTCATTCCCGTATCCACATATCCAGACTCTCCCATATCTAAGCTGGGGTGCCTATTTATCCCGTCATCCCGAGAAAACAGTTTCATCCTATTCCTCTATCTACTCTTTATTAAACCTTTCAATTATACCTTCGTGTTGGCATTATTATCACTCATACCTGTTACTACTGCTGTTGTCCATAAGTCAAAGAATTATGTGTCAATAATCCTCTTACCTTGCAAACAAAATTATCCACGCGATCTTATATAATACCCTAAGGTTTTTTCCTTATATGTGGTATCACGCCATCTTAACATCAAACAAACCTATCAATTGTCTTATCTTTTTTCTGCATTACAGTATATGAAAATAACCTCAACACGAGCTAATAGGTTGAAGGGGTTTAGGTCAATGTCTACGTAGTAACAAAGTATCGAAATATCCACTAAATCTGCGGTAAACAGTACAGATGTTCCTTTGTTACAACCCGCTTTGTTATACTTTTCTACTTATTTGAAACATTTACTTTAACTAATACAAACACTTACTCTAAACAAGGAAAATAATTATATTGTTAATTAATGCATGTACACAGGACTTTCGGTCACCTATAAATATGGAGAGACTAGAACATTGAAAGATATGATAATGGTAAGTGAAGATAATAACTCATAGGGGTTTAAAAACGTAATCAGGAGAATGAATAAGGAGATTATACCATGGCAAAGTAATTCTTCAGGGTGAGTCCTTGAAAATAAGCAAATATATAGGGATCTTTTTCCACGGACAGATAATGTATTGGGGATTAATTGAAAGTCAGGTAACACTGGTATCGAGTCTCAACTCCAGGACGATGGGAGAATATTAATTTTAGGTGAAGATGTCACACTGTAAGCAAGAGTAGGAGGAGAGGTGGTGGGAGAGGTGTGGGGAGAGAGGTGGGGAGAGGTGGGAGAGAGGTGGTGGTGAGAGAGGTGAGAGAGGTGTGGTGGGAGAGGTGGTGGGGAGGTGGTGGTGGGAGGGTGGGGAGAGGTGGTGGTGAGAGAGGTGGTGGGAGATGGTGGGAGAGGTGGTGGGAGAGGGTGTGAGAGGGGATGATGGGAGAGTGGTGGGGAGAAGTGGTGGTGGTGGGAGAGGTGGTGGTGGGAGAGGTGGTGGGGGAGTGGTGGGAGAGGTGTGGGAGAGGGGATGGGAGGGGTGGTGGGGAGAGGTGATGGTGGGAGAGGTGGGGATGGTGGGGAGGAGGTGATGGTGGGAGAGGTGATGATAGGAGGATGGTGGGAGAGGTGGTGTGGGAGGTAGGAAAGGAGGTGGTGGGGAGGAGGTGGTGGGAGAGGTGGTGGTGAGAGAGGTGGTGGTGGGAGAGGTGATGGGGAGAGGTGGTGGGTGGGAGAGGAGATGGTGGTGGAGGTGGTGGTGATGGTAGGGGAGGTGGTGGGGAGAGGTGTGGGAAAGGTGATGGTGGGAAGAGGTGATGGTGGGAGGAGGTGGTGGGAGAGGTGGTGGTGGGAGAGGTGATGGTGGGAGAGGTGATGAGAGAGGGGTGGTGGGAGAGGTGATGGATGTGGAGATGGTGGAGAGGTGGGTGGGGAGAGGTGATGGTGGGAGAGGTGGTGGAGAGGAGGTGAGAGGTGGTGGTGAGAGAGGTGGTAGAGAGTGATGGGGGAGGTGGTGGTGGGAGGAGATGGGGTGAGGTGGTGGAGTGTTGGGAGAGGTGGAGTGGAGAGGTGGTGGGAAAGGTGATGGGGAAAGAGGTGGGATGGTGGGAGAGGTGGTGGGGAGAGGTGGTGGTGGGGAGAGGTGATGGGAAGAGGTGATGGGGAGAGAGGTTGGGAGAGGTGGATGGGTGGGAGAGGTGGTGGGTGGGAGAGGTGGGATGGTGGGAGAGGTGGTGGTGGGAGAGAGGTGTGGGTGAGGTGGTGGTGGATGGTGGGAGAGGAGGAGGTGGGGAAAGGTGATGGTGGGGAGAGGTGATGGGAGAGGTGGGTGGGAGAGGTGGTGGTGGAGAGGATGGTGGTGAGAGAGGTGATGGTGAGAGAGGTGGTGGGAGAGGTGGTGGTGATGGTGGGAGAGGTGGTGGGAGAGGGTGGTGGGAGAGGTGGATGGTGGGAGAGGTGATGGGGAGAGGTGATGGTGGGAGAGGTGGTGGTGGGAGGTGATGGTGGGAGAGGTGGTGGTGGGAGAGGTGTGGTGGGAGAGGTGGATGGTGGGGAGAGGTGGTGGTGGGAGAGATGGTGGTGGGAGAGGTGATGGTAGATGTGATGGTGAGAGAGGTGGTGGTAGGAGAGGTGATGTTGGGATGTGGGATGGTGGGAGAGGAGGTGGGGAGGAGGTGGTGAGGTGGGGGTGGGATAGGGAGAGAGTGGGAGAGGTGGTGGGAAAGGTGATGGGGAGAGGTGATGGTGGGAGAGGTGATGGTGAGAGAGGTGGTGGGAGAGGGGTGGGGAGAGGTGGTGGTGGGAGAGGTGATGGTGGGGAGAGGAGAGAGAGGTGGTGGTAGGAGAGTTGATGGTGGGAGAGGTGATGGGGGTGGTGGGAGAGGTGGTGGGAGAGAGGTGGTGGGAGAGGTGATGGGGGAGGTGGTGGTGGGGTGGGTGGTAGGAGGTGGTGTGAGAGGTAATGGGAGAGGTGATGGTAGGGAGAGGTGGTGGTGGGAGAGGTGGTGGTGGGAGAGGTGGATGGTGGAGAGGTGACGGTGAGAGAGGTGGTGGGGAGAGGGGGTGATGGTGAGAGAGGTGATGATAGGAGAGGTGGTGGGGAGGTGGTGGTGGGAGAGGTGATGATGGGAGAGGTGGGTGGTGGGAGAGGATGGTGGTAGGATGGGGTGGTGGTGGGGAGAGGTGGGATGGGGAGAGGTGATGATGGGAGAGGTGACGGGAGAGGATGGTGGGATAGGGGATGGTGGGGAAAGAAGGTGGTGGGAGGAGATGATGGGGAGAGGTGATGGTGGGAGAGGAGATGGAGAAAGATGGTGGAGAGGAGGGGAGGTGTGGGAAGAGGTGGTGGTGGGGAGAGGTGATGGTGGGAGAAGTGATGGTGGGAGGTGGTGGTGGGAGAGGTGGTGGGGTGGTGGTGTGGTGGTGGGAGAGGTGGAGGTGGTGGGAGAGTGGTGGTGGTGGGGTGTTGATGCTGAGAGGGTGATGGTGGGGAAGGTGGCGGGGAGAAGTGGGAAGGTGGTGGTGGGAGAAGTAATAGTAGGAGGTGGTGGTGGGAGAGGGTGGTGGTGGGGGTTGGTAGTGGGAGGTGATGTGAGATGTGAGTGGGAGAGGTGGGTGAGAGAGGTGGTGGGAGAGGTGGGGAAGAGGTGGTGGAGAGGTGGTGGGAAGGTTGGGGAAGAGGTGGTCGGAGAGAGGTCAGGGAAGTGGTGGGAGAGGTGGAGAAGAGCGGTGGGAGAGGTGATGAGAGGGGTGGGAAAGAGGGGGTGGGAGAGGTAGGGAAGAGATGGTGGAAGGGGTGGTGGGAGAGGTGGTGGGAGAGTTTGGGAAGAGGGGGTGGGAGGGTTATGACTTGATAAAACTATAGTTGGATTTAATGTTTGTTTAATTTCTGGTAATTGGATTAATGTTTACTTAGTATGTAGAGGGAAGGATGGATAAGTGGTGGATGCCAATAAGGCGTGATGGTATATTACGAAATGAGAGAGAGAGGTAGGGGGGGTGGCTTGATGGATAGTTGGTAAATGGATGAATGGATGTGTATACCAGAAAGTTTTATTGTATGTTAATAGGGATGATAGAGATAGCTAAGTTTGATAACGTCTGTCATAATTGTGGTATATTAAGGTCGTCTGTAATTTGCGTATAGTTAAGGAAATTTTAGCAAAAACGTTGATTTCAGCATTAATAATAACAAGAATGTCAGTAACACGGTTAAATCATATATATATATATATATATATATATATATATATATATATATATATATATATATATATATATATATATATATATATATATATATATATATTCATGCGTACTTAAAAATGTATGCGGACCTACGCACGTGCACGTGCATACATTCGGAACGTATAGAACAGTTTGTAAAAAGTTAAAGCCCTGTCTGTCTTCACTAAGAAATCTTAACCAAGCCCTCACTAGAGGGGAAACATATCCTACTGGTATTCACATATGGATAAACACCGTTGAATGACCTTTGATAGTCTTCACGGAACGAAGTAATACTTGAGTCAGTGTGTGCGTGTGTGTGTTAGTAGGTCGGAGTGCATATAGTGGCAGAGTTTCTACTTCACTGGCGACACATGCACATTGTTAAAAAATGAGGAAAAAAGAGCATTCTCTTGCTACTGATAAATGAATAATTTCCTCGTTTTAAAGCAAATATATTTCTGATTTAAAAGGATTTAAAAGCAAGTGCATGTACACTATATATACTGTATATATATATATATATATATATATATATATATATATATATATATATATAATATATATATATATATATATATATATATATATATATATATATATATATATATATATATATATATATAATATATATATATATATATATATATATATATATATATATATATATATATATATATATATATACATATATATATTTATATTATATATATATATATATATATATATATATATATATATATATATATATACATATATATATATATATATATATATACATATACATTATATGTTATAGCTTTGCATCTACAATACCAATCAGCAATGCCAATGTAAGTGAGGTTATGGATTCCGAAAGAGACTTATAATTATGTTTGTTATTGTATTGAAGTAACGGCTGAAGTAATAATTAAGGTTGACCAGTATACATCAGACATTGCGATTAGGGAAGCCTTAGATATTACATCTTAAAACTATCATGTTCTCCAGCCCAGAAAGATGTAATAAAATGGTAAAAAATCTAAAAAAAGAGAAAAAAATCGTGAAGATAAGATTAAGATTAATTATTTAAATATAATCCTCCAAAGGTTAAGGCCGACTTAAAATATTCTCAACACTTACCCTTCACTCGAGGATGTGCCCTCCCTCCGCCCCCTCGAGGCTTGGTATCCCCAGGGGTATCATACAATACACACCCAGAGGGGATCATACCTTCCAAACAATTTACGGCTGCCAATGCTACTTAGATTTTCCAAGACCCCGCCTACACCCCCCACACAGTAAAGTCTCTGCAGTAAGTAACCGTTCTCTTTGTCAGTGGTAGTCCCCCCTGGGTAGCATAATTACTTTGTTACCGTCCCAGAAAGGTTACATGTCTACAAAACAATAATTAAAAATGCCCAGTATAGTAAAGGAGCTCTTAGGTGAGAGATACTGTTATGGCTCTAAATAAACCCCAGAGGAGCACCTGAGGGAGCCACACGGTTACTACAGATCAGTAGAAACACCCTAACTAATAATATCTCTTCCTACCCATACCTGACTAAACTTAACAGTGAGTGAAAACATTTGCTGTCTGGTGTGGACGTATCAGATGACCTTCATCCATGATAGATAACATGAGGTAGTAGGTGTGACTTACACTAATTATATTATTTATGATGACTTATAGCGCTATATATGTGTGTATGCGTGCGTGTATGTGTGTGTGTGTGCGAGTGTGTGTGTGTGTGTGTGTGTGTGTATGCGTGTATGTGTGGGTGTGGGTGTGTGTGTGATGGCAGACTCACCCAGATGTGTGTTTCCCAGCAGCTGGATGGTGCTGCAGGAGGTCTTCTTCTGGCGTGGGGAGGAGCCCGCGGAGTTTGGTTCGCGCCCCCCGTCTGGAAGGCGGCACGAGGCCAGACGACCTTCACCAGGGGATCTCACCATTGTGAGGCAACAACACCACTACCATGGCTACCATCACCACATAACACACCGCTAATACCACTACCATGCCTTCGTCCTGCGTCAGTTCACTGCTTCTCGTACTGCTGTTGCCGTTGTCACTATCCTTTTATTCTCGTCAACTTTACCAACGTGTGTGTTGCCACTACCCTTCATAACACATCAGAGCCAACGACCACAAATACTCTTAAGTGTTCAGTAGCACAGACACACAGTAAAGGTTGTATTGTGTACCTGAGTCATCAACAATTACTATTTACTAATAATACTCTCCATACTTTATATTTTTTCTCCATCATCATCATCATCATCCGTGTACAGAAATTATCAAACTTATATCATTATCACGTCATCCTCATCATTCCTTCCTCACGCCTTCAACACCTGTTCATCATAAACTCCATTCTACCTATTCATACACACATGTCTCGTTCATCACCCCCATTTCCTCACTTCCCATTCTCTCACTCATATTTCTCACCCTGTCTCTCATTCTTCCTTTTCTTTTCTTTATCGTTATTTCTTCCTCTCTTCTCATTTCTTATAACTATCTACTTTTTTCTACCCACTTATCACTATTATCAATTTTTCTCAATTCATGTTTGGTTTGTACTCTCCTTGTCCTGTACTCTCCCTGTCCTGTACTCTCCATGTCCTGTGTTGTCTCTGTCCTGTACTTCTGTATCTTGTTCTCTCCCTGGCCTGTACTCTCTTTGCTCTGTATTCTCCCTCTCCTGTACTTTCCTTGTCCCGTACTCTCCCTATTCTGTAATATCCCTATCCTGTACTCTCCCTATCCTGTACTCTCCCTATCCTGTACTCTTTCTATCCTGTACTCTCCCTGTCCTGTACTCTTCCTATCCTGTACTCTCCCTATCCTGTACTCTCCCTATCCCATACTCTCCCATCCTGTAATTTCCCTATCCTGTACCTCTCACCCTGTACTCTCCCTATCCTGTACTCTCATCCTGTATTCTCCCTATTCTGTACCTCCCATCCTGTACTCCTATCCTGTACTCCCTATCCTATAATTTCCCTATCCTGTACTCCTCTATCCTGTACTCTCACTCAATTCTGTACTCTCCCTATCCTGTGGCCCTGACCTGTCCTGTAATCTTCCCATCCTGTACTCTCCCTCATCCCATTCTCTTTCCAGAACACTGTTACCCACTCTATTCTCGAAAACCACTAGCCAGCATTTCTGATCCCACATCTCCCTATCCCGTGGCACCAACCTGTATTCTCCCTATTCTGTACTCTCCCTATCCTGTACTCTCCCTATCCTGTACTTTCCATATCCTGTACTCTCCCTATCCTTTATTCTCCCTATCCTGTACTCTCCCTATCCTGTACTCTCCCTATCATGTATTCTCCCTATCCTGTACTCTCCTTATCCTGTACTCTTCCTATCATGTACCCTCCCTGTCCTTTACTCTTCCTACCCTGTACTCTCCCTATTCTATACTCTTCCTATCCTGTACTTTTCCTATCCTGTACTCTCCCTATCCTGTATTCTCCCTATTCTGTACTCTCCCTATCCTGTACTCTCCCTATCCTGTACTCTCCCTATCCTACCTCCTATCATGTATTCTCCCCATCCTGTACCTCCTATCCTGTACTCTCCTATCCCATTCTCTCTATCCTGTACCTCCTATCCTGCACTCCTATCCTGCAATCTCCTGTGTCCTTTTACTCTTCCTATTCTGTGCTCTCCCTATTCTATACCTCCCATCCTGCACTCTCCCCATCCTGCACTCTTCTTTCCTGTAGAATTCACTATCCTGTTCTCCCCACTTGCACTCCCCCCCATCCTCTCTAGTGTCCCTATACCCTCTCATCCAGCATCACTTCCTATCATATACGCCTCATCCCAGCACTCTCAATTATCCTGTATTCTCCCTATTCTGTACTCTCCCATCCTGTATTCTCCTTATCCTGTACTCTCCCTATCCCATCATTGTATACCTCCTTATCCTGTACTCTTCCTATCATGTACCCTCCCTATCCTTTACTCTTCCTATCCTGTACTCTCCCTATTCTATACTCTCCCTATCCTGTACTTTTTCTATCCTGTACCCTCCCTATCCTGTATTCTCCCTATTCTGTACTCTCCCTATCCTGTACTCTCCCTATCCTGTACTCTCCCTATCCTGTAATCTCCCTGTCCTTTACTCTTCCTATCCTGTGCTCTCCCTATTCTATACTCTCCCTATCCTGTACTTTTCCTATCCTATACTCTCCATATTCTGTATTCTCCCTATCCTGTGCTCTTCCTATCCTGTACTCTCCTTATCCTGTACTCTCCCTATCCTATACGCTCCCTATCCTGTACTCTCTCTATCCTGTACTTTTCCTATCCTGTACTCTCCCTATCGTGTACTCTCCCTATCCTGTATTCTCCCTATTCTGTACTCTCCCTATCCTGTAATTTCCCTGTCCTTTACTCTTCCTATTCTGTGTTCTCCCTATTCTATACTCTCCCTATCCTGTACCCTCTCTGTCAATCACTGAAATGATTCCCTCCCGGAGACTCGTCACACATTTCAACTACAGTACCACTCAAATTCCTCCCCAGTCTCTTCCACAACACTTTCCTAATCTCAGTACCTATTTTTGGCTCAGTACTCAGCAACTCCCTTTGATAGTTCATTTTAATGGGCTTTTGAGTTGATTTTCTGCTGTACGTAACACACACACACACACACACACACTACCTCTCTCTGGTAGACAATTACTTTACTTGTACCATTCATTTATTTCTTCCATATGTCACAACAATTCCCTTAACAATGTTTGCGCTGTGTTATGTTGTGGTGTGTTGTGTTGTGTTGTGTTGTGGTGTGTTGTGTTGTGTTGTGTTGTGTTATGTATTTTGTTGTGTTGTACTGTGTTGTTGTTATCTCACCCATTTTGATGTTTCATTTACATAATTCATTTTCCTCCTGGCTGCTCTTTCTCTATCACCTTCTAAGACTTTCATTATTGCACTGTCAACAAACACGTTAATCAGGTCAGATGAATCACACGTCTACACCCAAACTGTCACACACACACCCTACCTTACTAACTGGTCGTACCATTGTGTCTATACTAACTTTTTTTTTTTATGTTTTCAATGCTTTCTCTCTATTTATATCCTGGTCGCCGCTTTTCATGGCTCGCAACACCCACACACACGCATACATGCACACTCACACACACACACAAATACACAAACAGTTTAGCGACAACAGTGTTTACAGTCCGTCAACTTTAGGAACACGTAGAATTAATCTCCGCGAATCCGAGACTAAACAAGAGTGCCTGTTCGTTTGTTTACATGTAGTACCTCCCCTCTCACGCTCTCTCTGTCAACAGTGTAAGTTGAGTGTTTATTTACATCATCTCTTGTTGGATTGAAGGCATCGCATCCTGAGTCACAACTTGATGTGATCAGATGTTAGAGCGATAATACTCCATTTAGACTTAGAGAAAATGGAATAACATGTTTTTACGTTAGGTTTCTACTTTGTTGTGTGAACTGCAAGAATCTCAAAAATTTCAATCGATTCAATGTTCTTAGTGTTATATATATTCCAGTGAATTAAACGTTAAATCAACCTCAGATGAGCCTTGATATTCAGCATAGGAAGATCTAAGTCATCACGTAGAGCAATAGTTAACAAGTCGACATAACGCTAAGAAACTAAAGCTTCATTTACTGTATATAAATTTTGTCTCATATACAGTTTATATACTTGACTTGGAAGTGATATAACATTCACAAAGGAATTTTAAGCCCCTCTTGAGAGCCCCGCGGCATATACTCATCAAGTTTACGTCACGCAATTTTTTTTGAATTTTTAAAGTGAATTAAATTTGGTTTGCGAGACAATTGATTAATCACTATGTAGTTTTACTTAACACTATAATGTGGAGTAATTACTGCACTAGAGGTCGACTCCTTGTCAATATTAATAAGCTTTATTGAAGTGGGTGTTGGAATTAATTAATATAGTTTCCGTCGTAAATCACAGTACTGTACCTACTATAATTACAACTCCTGGGAATTCGTGTTTAAACTCTTTAACACAATACAGTAATATGTAAGTAATGTAATTTGAATTGGAACAAGAAATATGACACTATACACATTACACAGGCTGGTGCATAAGTCACGTTACTGAAAATAAGTACTGTACTGTGTATATTATCTCAGAATTGTTATCGACACAGCGATTTATACACCACCTTGTATACTAAATATGTGTGTGTATGGTTTTATGCAAGTCAGCAGTCACCTGTGTTCCAGCTTTAATATTTTATGTAAATAGTGTATCATATGTAAACATGAGAAGTTATAATTATACACGTTAGGGGTCACTGAGGTCAGAGTTAGTGTATTTTGTGGTCATGATGTCACTGTACTGAACGCTCGCTCGCTTTCCACGAACTTCCACTGAGGAATGTATCTCAGTTTTTACGTCAATGTTTTGCCTCCAGTAAGTTGTCATATTGAATTTGTTGTTTCATTTGTTGATAAATATTGTTGGTATTTGTTCATATAACATTGTATTAATTTTCTTCTCATTGTAGTTTGTGTTGTAAGGTGGTTTCGAGACAACATTTTATATTACTTTTTTTTCATGTGATGAAGGTGGATCAACTATACCCACTTTCATTATGATACGAATTCGAGCAGAAAAAAAAATTACGCCTCATGACCCCAACTATTGAACTTTTTTTTTATATATATAATCTAATTACTGTTGCGCTACAATCCAGCTGTAATAATCTATGTCACATAAACCGTTTCCAAGTTTGTGTTATATCTAGTTGACGTCTGGTAACATACAGTACATTAAGGTCTGCGTTTAATAGAAGACAACACAGAGAGAGATGAATATATATTTTTTTTTTTCTGGCGGAGAGAAGAACTATACAGGAGGTTCGG